TGGGGGGCAGGTGCCCAGCACCGGGGGAATCACAGAGCAGCGACTGTTGGGCAGCAGCTGGGGCACGGACCCATCCCACGAGGCCGCACGTCTGCGGCAGTTGAGGTTCCCGGGTCCAACGTGGAGCCGCCACCGAGGAGGAAACAGCCGTTATCTGCTGGGAACATTTGTTTTAGTGCAGAATTGCTTTCAACTGTGCCCTCTGCATCCGCCCGCTTCTCAAAAAGTCAATAGAGCACAAAGGTGTCGGCACTTTTTTTGTCTTCCTTTTCTAAATAAAAACGTCAGCGAGAGGAGCACCAGGACCTGGACAAAGTCCCCCCAGCCCCGACGGGGACCCCCGATTGCCCAGACACCCGAGCCCAGCGCGCTGGAAATGTTGGAGCCAATTCAGGTCAATTAAAGTCGAGGGTTTTATTGAATTAAAGTGTGAAAGCAAATACAGCCAGCCCAGTATTCAGGCTGTTATTTTTTTTTTTTTTAATGTTAATGCGATTTTTTTTTCCCCCTGCTCATAAACGTGATTTAAAAGGTGGTTGGGATTCCTGGGCTGGAGGAGAGCCGGGAGATGGGTTTGGGAGCTTGGAAAGAACGCGGACGGGTTCCTCGCACCTGGGAAAGCGCCGGCAGCAGTGGGGAACGTGAGGAATAAAATCACTTCTGGCAGCAGCCACCAGGTGAAATCCCGTAAAAGGGTTTGGGGGGAAGGAAACCTCCTGGGATGGTCCCACCAGCCCTGAACCCCGCAGGTCCCAAAGCTGGGGGGGACCTGGGAGCATCCGCCCCCTGCACAGGGAAAAAAAAAAAAAAAAAAGCTCTGGTGCGAGGCTGGCTGTGCAAGAGGAGTATTTTTAGGAAGGACTCCTGAGCAGGGACTGGGGATAATGATGTGCAGTGTAAAGCTGGAGCTGCGACAGAAAGCCGGGCTCAGCGGGGGCAGCGGAACTTCGGTGTCGGTTTTGCTGAAAGGAAGCAGAACCGTGCAGCCGGGTCCAGGGGAGCTGTGGGGGGGGTGGTTTTTCAGGGCAGCAACCCCCCGCTGCTGGGCCTGAAGGACCAAGACTGGAAATCCCCCCACGGCCTGTGACTCTACAAAGTCCCACATAAATATCGAACCTTGGGCAGGGGTTTGGTCACAGCGAGCGTGCCCGCAACCAGCACGGCACCTGGCAGGGGTTGGACACACTGGGAGAGCGGGGAAAGGAGGGTCTCGTGCTGTTAATTGGTTTAATGAAGACGAGAAGCATCTCGGTGAACAGCAAACGGCACCCGCTCACCGTGTTCTCCCACAGCAGAGTGACACCATCCCGTTTTCCCATCCCTTGGTTTTGTTAACGGACCGGAGGCAAACCCCCTCCTGGGTTTCAGCCGGCTGCTCGGCAGGGAGCAAACCTCTCTCCGAAACAACCTCCCCGAGGAAACCGCGGCTGACACGTCCCAGCCCCAGGAAGGTTTTGCAGGAGCTGGGGCAGCACCCGCCAGCTGACGGCTTCCACCTGCTGCCATGGCTCGGGCAGCAAATTCGGGTTATTTTGGCATAAAATGGGTTTTATACAGGTAGACTTCATCACAGACAGTTATAACTCGAACTTTAATTCTGCAATGGATTACTTTTAAGCTGTGAGTCCATAAAATACGCGGCCGGTTAAGATTCGGGGTCTCAGGCGTCGCCTGCGAGCTCGGTGTGACTCGCCTCGAGCGCTGCTGGGACCGGGGTCAGCCCCGCAGCCACCACACCCCCGCGCCAGGTGGACGCTCTCGTTAAATGGTTTTTTCCAGTTACACGATTTTTACTTTTACTGGCTGCTACGGGCTAAAAAAAGTCCTGCATGATCAGGAACGTTAAAAAATGTAAGTACAGGGCTTACCCCCCATTTTTTGGTACAGTTCTTTTCTTTAGGGTTCATATTCTTCAAGCTCTTTTCTGCAGACACAAATACTAGTTTTTGGGGTTTTTTTTTTCTTTCCCTGGTGTGAAGAAATACTTCTGTAATCCCTACGATTCCTGCTTTGGGGCTTAATTTTTACATTAAAAAGCCCCGCACCGACACTGAACAACTGTGATCAAACTGATAACAATAACCACTCGACACAGTAACTCCTGTGACTCTGTTCTGAGTACACAAAACAGTTCTCAAGACCAGCCTCTGATGAACCAATTTGTTTTCTCTTTCCCCAGAGCCAAGGTACGTGGCATTAAGTTTACTCTGGCCCAAAATCCACCACTGAGGTCAAAACCCTTTGTGAGATCCTTTTACCTGGACTTGTCCCCCCCCCCCAACCCGCTTCACTTCCGCGGCCATGCCCGCGCCGCATGAACAGAGACGGACTGAGGCAGACGACAGGAGCAGCTCTGATTGCAAATAAAAAAAAATCTTTATTGCATCTTAGAAGCAAGTCTTAAAAAAAAAAAAAGAAAAAGAAAAACAAAAAATATTTTCCATGCACTGAATCCATCCAAGTACCCACGTCCTTGGGACTGTCACCAAAAAACACTGAACATCGTAAGACATCGACTCTACGCTAGCTGCAGTTCATACTCCGTACACCTGTGAACAAAGGTTATTTCTTCTGCTGGAATCGCAGTTACTGCGGAAGATCCCTTCAACCATGGCATCGGTTCTTCTCCAGTTCCTTCCCTGGTCTCCACTTCCCAAAGAGTCGGCAAAGCGGAACTGAGAGCAATGAGACGAAATGGTGCTGGAGGATACGATAGAAAAATATATTGTTGGCTGGTTTTTATTTTTTTGTTTCTGCTGAGCAAGATATTTACAGGTAGGTAGGTCCCATGAGATCACCTGCTTCCACGACAATGTCCATTCACCGTCTAGGTCTCGGTGTAAAGGGTTCCCTTTCTGGCTTTAAGGCACTTTATTGTGTGTATTTTTCTCTTACCTTGCTAGGTGTTAATTCATCGGGATCACACTTTCCTCGTGCTCGGCCTCCCCCATCCCCGGTTCCTCTTAGAATACCAAAAAAAAAAAAAAATTCCTAAGCTTACTGAAGTCATTCCAAAAATGTTAAAGAAATTTGGGGAAAAAAAAGATCCATGAAAAAATATTTTAAAAGTAATCTTTGGAGATCATTTACTGCAAGTATGATGTACACTACCTTATCCGTGAGAAGATGCAATACATTCCTAATATATATATATATATTTACACACACATATATATATATAAAAAATATTAAAATGACTAACAGATATTCAAGGAAAGGTCAAGAACCTAAAACAATGGATATTAAATAAATTAACTGTCTAGCAGATACAGGAAAAAAAATAATCCCAAAAACAAACCTAGTAATCAAATGTAATATTTGTTCCCGTTAACATCACGTAACCGACTGAACGGAATCAACGCCGTCGGGGCGGCGCACGTGATACGGAAGATTTGCAAAGTTCTCGTTGGGGATCTCAAATTGTTCATCGCGTAGGGTCGCTTTGCTGCAGGAGATTCGCGTTTCCCGTCCTCTTCCCCTCCCTCCTCGCGTGTCGGTTCCTCGGTAACATTGTCTCAGCTCAGGGCAGCGGTTGAGGACGACACACAGAACCCACCACGGATTCTTAGAACATTACGTCCAGATACAGGCCAAATAAAAAAGAGAAAAAATCTCTACACGGACTAACCAGACACCAGGTTGTGCTTACGTTCTTCCCTCCCTTGAAGTCGCCTGGCCAGAGTAAGTGGAATTGTACTTTTAAATGGAAATAATCGGCTATTCGGAAAAAAAACCAAACCAAACCCTCCTGCGATTAACACCCTTCTCACGGCCGTGCCAATTGGTTCTGTTCGAACGCAACTGAAAACACAACAGCTACCCTGAACACAAGCAGCAGCATCTTTGCACGGCAGCAGTCACAACAAAACATTCAGCCGCAGCGTTTTGTCACTTGGCCGGCACGCTCGGGTCCCCATTTACAGAATCCCAGCAACGAAGACAGCAACGGAAAAAAGGAGGAAACAATCTTTTGTTCGTAAGGAGATTCTAATTCAAGTCAGATTTCCACTGATCGGTCAGATAACTCTTAAACAATTCTTTTTTTTGTTTGTTTGTTTGAAGGCAAATATTGATCACAGTTTTGTTCAAAACCAAAAAACACAACAACAACAACAACAACAAAACCCAACGGCCTTGCTCCACTCAAAACGAGCACTTGGTAAGAAAACAACGATGATTTCTAAAATATATCCTGTGTGGTCTTTTTAAAAGTGAATTATCAAAAAACATTTTCCCAAAAAATAAATTAGATAATTAAAAAAAAAGTCTTTTTTTTCCAGCATAGCTGGACATTAGGCTGTCCTCACTGAGCCGTTCGTATTGCTGCTTTTCCCAAAATTGGGGTCGTTTTTTTCAAACCATATTTCAGCCAGCTGTTGTGTGGACCCATAAGTGGAAGCTTTGGACCCCAAGCACATTTTATATTGTTTTGGATCTAGATTAGGGTCACAAAAAACAGGGTGATGCACATGGACTACTCCAATTTCTTGGCTTCGGAAAGTTTTTAAGCCAGCTTGAATGACTTTGTTAAACAGGTCTACGTCTTCAAGGCCCCAACCTTGGATGGAGACGTCAAAGCCACCTGCTCGGAGAAGATCACTTTTGTAAATACAGGTGATGCCGAAGCCATAGTTCCTCCAGAAACCTGTTTTCTGGGTGAAGGCAAAATGATTGTCACTAGGAACTTTTCGACTATAAACAATCTTTGGATCATACTGGCTAAAAATGATGGGAAAATAGACTTGTTGACCCAAAACTGTATTGGCTCGACACCGCTGGAGGAATTCTGTGGTAAACACTAAGTCAACATCACAGAAGAAAAGTAAAGATTCGTTCTGGAACTGAGAAGATCCAACTTCCAGAGCCAGCGCCCTGGAGAACTCCCCCGACACGGGTAAAACCTGCATGTCGGCCTTGGGGTATTTGGAGCGGTAATCTCTCATCAGCTCAATCTGCTTCACTTTGTCGGGATTGGAGTTGAAAAGCAGGACAACCAGCTTGACGTTCTGGTTTGGAATGAGGCAAGTCTTTTCGAAATTCCCCATGAACCTTGCGAACATGTCGAAACGGCCGGAGAGAGGAATCAGGATGTTGATCTTCTTGTCTTTGAGTTCCTTCCTCTCTACTTTTGATCGGCTGAGCTGGAAGGGAACAAACATCTTCAGTGAGTTGGAGAGGAAAGACAAGGATCCAGAATCCTGGTTGATTTTGCTGGCCAGCTCTTTGGCGTCCACCTCTTCGTGCTCCATAAACTGGATCTTGCTGAACGTCTGCTGCAAGTACGCGTGCCTCCTGACGGGGACGGTCATCTTCTTCCCTTTATGCTTTTTGTACAGAAGCAACAAGTCAAGAACGTACTCTGCTCCGTACATGGGATTTACCCTGCGATAGCCGTACTGTATTTCCTTGAAATCGATGATCCTCCCTCGGGTCTTCGCGTTGGCGTTGATCATTTCCATGACCTGCATAACAATGTCATCCAACGCTTCGCCCTGAGAAGAGTCCATTCCTCTCCGCGGGGGCTGCCCGTCCGCACCCGAATACAAATATTTTCCTGTAAGAAATTCCCACTCCAAGATTTCTTCCCGGTGGCGGGGCTGGAATCGCATGAAGGAGGGTGGCATCCCCAGCTGCAGGTCATCTTTGTGGATTTCTGTGTTGCTGTATTTGCTCATCAGGACGATCTCCCGGTGCAGCTGTACGGTCCGGTGGCGCAGCTCCGCTATCTTGCGGCTCAACATGTAGCTGTGAAGCCTGTACTGGTACGGGGGGTTCTTATTGGGGTGCAGCGTTATAGCTCGGTGGATTTTGCTGTTCCTCAGGTCGCGGATATAACCTTTTTTGTTCTGCTCGTAATTTTCATAAAACAGCTGCTGCATCTAGAAGAGAGAAAGGAGAAGTCAGTGTCTGAGCAGCGCTCTACTTGTGAAAGTTTAGCCCCCACGGCCCCCGCTGGGAGAAAATTACTCCTTGCTGGCAGGGCCAGGCGGCTTTCTGAATAAGCTGTTCTTGGTTTTAGGCACAGGTTGTAGCAATACCAGCTGCTCTTCAAGGAAATTAAGAGGATTATTCGTTGTAAACTGGTAAAAGAAACATCTACCATGGATTTGGGATTACTACAGCCCGGTCTAGCGATACCACTGTCAGGCAAGCAACCGAGCAGTAAGCAGACTGTAAGCTCATTTTTGCACAATATAGCGTCAACAGGAAAAAAAACAAACCACGAAGCGTTCCCTGCAAAACTCTTTCTATACTTCTGCCTCCCCTGGGCTTTAAGAATAACACTAATAATAAAGAACAATAAAAAAGGATGCCAGATACAGAGGAAGCGAGTGTGATGACACCTTTTCCATGACACCCTAATGCTGTTCAGGTTATTAAAAATCCATCTTGCTGAATGTCTCAGTCAAGATGCTGAATGTGTTATCACAAGTGCTGCAGTGCCCAGCTGCAGCTCCCCTGTCACTTTATAATGTCACTGAAATGCATCCGAGACTCCTGGCAGCACTTCCAGAAGGCAAGCAATGCAGGACGCACAGGTGTGCTAGAATAAACGCATCCTAAAATGGAAATTGCTATTTCAAACAAGAAGATAAGGAGCTAAGATGAGATTCAGACGCTTCACAGAGCCCCACAGCGTAAGGAAAGCAGGTAAACCAGCTTTATCTTTATTTTTATTTAACCAGCTTTGTTTTTTTTCCAGCAGGTCAGGCAGTAGCTGATTGAATGAAAGGTATGTGGAAACCAGGATGATAACGTGGAAAATAAGCTGAAAAAAAGCCCCGAGAGAAAAAAAAAACCCTCAAGTCCAAAGTTATACACCAGCTGAGAGAATGGACACGTAACGAGATCACGGGCTGATCCTGTGTCACACCACCACAGCCACCAACCTGCCAGGAGCTGCCAGGACAGCTGAGTTCCACCTGGGATCCCATCTGGGCTACTGGCAGCAGGATCTGCCACAGGTACAGTCAACAAAGCAACGGCAAAGGGCTAGAAAGATCAGCAGAGAGCTAAAATCCGAAAGACAAAGAGAAGAGAGAATGACTCTGATAGGATGGCAACTAAACACAATCCCAGCAGAGAAAACCTCCCTTGGACAGACAGCGCCAGCGATGCTTCTGCCAGCTGCTCGCCCCAGCAGAAATCCTGTTTTATGAGGCCTCCAGTTGCATTTTCCCCATTATTGTGGACAGACACTGAATCTCAGGGATAAACTTACACCTGGATGTAACTGCCGCTATCTTACCGCACCAGATGTGTGCAGGCTGAAACCTGGAATCCAGCGTATCGCTGCGGACAGCGCGGGAGCAAGCGGCGTAGGCGTGAGACGGCTCGCGTGGGTTTGCATCTGAACAAATTCATTTCAGAGGAGGGAGGGAGGGATTTCAACCAGACATTTTTTTTTTTCACGGGGTCATCACCAAACCCCCCACCCCTTCTCCTTTTCCTGCTCAGGTTCCCCTTGCTGCCCACTGTCCCCCAAGTGACTCCTTGGCCACTTTCATGGCCAGAAGCGGCGTTTATTAGGCAGATCCCACACAGCAACGCAGCCAGAGGAGAGCATCCCGGCGCTGGGCTCCTGGCAAGCCGCAGGTGAGCTGCCTGTCCGGATGTGCAGCCCTTTAGAAGTTGTGCAAGATTTAAAAGAGTGCGATGGGCAGAGGTTAGCCGGTCTAATCCTGCGTTCAGCAGAGCGTTACGAACCTCATGCTTTCCCGAGAAGCATGTTTTTCCACTCACCCACCGACTGTTCCTCATTTGTATCCCTGTCTTGTCTCCTCTACTAACAACACTTGATTTTTGGTCCACTTTGAACCTCGCTGCTTCTTAAGGGCTCCAGGAGACCTCACATCACACCCACTTACGGTCGGTGCTGGAAGCACAACTGATGACAGCGGAGAGCTCACACAGCGCGAACAAGCCCAGTCCCAGGCTGCAGGACCCACCGGGTGTTTTTACCGACTCCGCCGATCTCTCCTCTCCGGTACAACGTACAGAGAGCCCCAGAAGTGTGCAACGCGTACGGAACAGGCTGGAGATTCACTGATGGTTTAACTACAACTGTAAGCAAAGGCTGTCCCGGGAGTATTGTGACATTAGATAAAAATTCTTAAATCATGTCATTAGGCAACTATTATTTAAAGGAAAATAGACAATAGGATCTAATTTCAGATCTTGTTTTGAATTTATTAGAAAAACAAAATCAAGACCATGCAGCCTGAATGCATTTCTTCCCCAACTGCCATCTAGGGCATTCTGAATTAGCTACGAGAGGAAACCATGAGAAGCAGAAAGGCTTTGAGATTACACAACAAAAGTTTTAATAGAATACCGATGTGTAGGAAAATGTTACGAAACTTCCCAATGGAAGTAGAGATATGAACCCCTAGCAAAGGCCCTGAACAAATTAACAAGCGCTGCCACGCAGGAGCAACCTCTCATCGAGGCTGGGTAACCTCGGAACTTTTAATGCTGCTTCTCGCCTCTTCCAAAAACTAGCTAACTTTGAAAACTGAACTGAAAATAAAACGTATCTCAGCAATTCTTCACTGGTGCTTCAAAGGGAAGCAATTCACGACGGAAACATCTATTACCAGCCACCTCGCTCCAGCCAAAAAGGTGACACCTGCCCTGCGCTCCAGCCAAGCCTGCACTGCGGCTAATGAGAAGCACCCCAGCAGCCAGGCTTTTACATAACCCTCTTTTTCAGCAGAACGCCTTGCCAGGCTGGCACTTCCATTGTTTTGCCAATGAAGTCTCCCCACCTCCGGCTCCAGCATCTCTCTTGGCTCTTTGCTCAGCCCACGGCAGCACGCAGGGGACGTGCCAGCGCCCTGCAGCCCCGATCCCCCACCTGGGAAGCAAGCAGGAAACACACGGAAGGGGATCGGAAGGGGTTAATCAATTTAGAGAGCAGAGTGACTTCCAAGCTGATTTTGCACAGTGGTATGAGGATGAAGTCCAAGAAGCCAACAGAGCAATTTAACCCCTCCTGGGCCGAGGACACTGATCCAATGCTGCAGAAGCGCTGCGACGCCCGCGAGCTTTCCTGCGCGACGAGGAGCCCCACATGGATCGCGTTTGCTCAGCCACAGCTACAAAACTGGAGAGAAATTAGCAATTCCCTCCGTACGGTTTGACAGCTCCACCAACATTAATCCATTTAAGTAATTAAGGCAGTGCTAGTCTTCAGCATTGGGTTTGATCACTAACATGGGCAACGTCCGACGATCGCTCAGTGCTGCCGACGTGGTTTCTACCTCCTCTGGGTCCAAACCACTCCGCTAGATATTACCTTTCGATGCCACACAATACTGGAAAGCCGTAAGGAAGACAAAGAATCATAATTACCTCTTGTGTACATCGTTAATAGATCGGTGGGTGGGAGAAGACAACAAATTTATTTGTAATTTCTCTCTGTAATTGATTTGTTCCTCCCATGTAGCAGCCGCTGATCGCAGCCGCGGGGAGCGACACCAGCGCGGCTCACAGGCGTGACGTGCACACTTCCCCAAGCCTATCACCAGATTCCTACAAGCTGAACTCTTGCAAACTCTTCTTCTAGTGAAACAGGTTTCTCTAGGACTCTTTTCCCAAAAAAAGAACCTTTCATGGATATTAATTTTTGCAATGATTATATTCTAAGCATGCTTTATTCCAGTGCAGAGCACTGAGAGCGTCAGGATACAAAGAAGAGCTACTCTTTATTGACCACTATTTACTCTAGACCTGTTGAAGCCTTAAAAACCCTAATGTTCCCCAAACCATTAGAGACTGAATGTTTAAACTGTGGTACAGCTGTTGTGGGCACTACTGGCTCCTGTCCAAAAGACCAACTGAAAGGAGAGAGTGTTACGTTCTTCGTTTTAAATGAAGAAGTCTTTTGCAGGCCAAAAAAAGTGTACTGGAGAAAATGGACTTTAAAAATAAGACCAGTTTATGCAGAAACTGGCCCGCAGCCACGGATTAGCCCCCGAGGGCTTTCTCTCACAGCTCCAGATTGTACTGCCACAGCCCAGAAAACGCAGCCCCACAAGTCTCACGAAAAACCACCACGGACAAGACACGTATGGCAGGCTTCGAACTGCCCAGGATGGGCTTTAAACACAAAGCCAAGGCAACGAAAAGCTCAACAGATGGCGAATGTCACCTAGTGTGGGGACAGCGCAGCTGGGTGGAGATGAGCATGCAGGATCACTGGTTTTCTGGCCTCTAAATCCCTGATATAGTCTCTGTTCACCGCTAACTTGCCTCTGGTGGAGGGGAGCCTGGAGTGACCGCCCTGGACACAGCTCTGCGTGCTCAGGGTTCTTACTAACCATGATCTTTCCATTTTAAATCCCGATGCTCTCTGTGTAATCCCGCAGCTAACCACTGACACGACTGAAGTGACTGCTGGGCAGGGTTATCATGGTGGGGACAAACACGGGGCAGCGATGGATAAACACTCATTCCCGGTGAACTGGCCACTCATTCATCCCTGTCACTGCCCCAGCGGCCACTGCAGGACAGGATGCGGGAAACGCCCCTCGGCACTGGGAGATGGGACTGCCCCCTCGGCTGACAAGCGAAGCCCTGAGCTCTGGAGCACGATAAAATGATGTGATCCCTCTGATGAGTTACTTCGCACACAAATTCCATCATGTACCACTGGTTTGCATTTGCTTTGTTTCATCAACAGGGGCAGGACAATCAGCTGGACATCCCCAACAGCCAGGACCCAAAATTTCCACAGCAGACTCCTCGAGAAGCAGCGGCAGACCCAGCTGTGATATACCGCGACCTCCGAGTGCAATAATTCCAGGCACGCTCTGAAGCAAGACGTTTATTTTGCACAACACAATTGCCTCGTCTCGTAAGATCCAAAGCGAAACAG